CGGCCTCCCAGCACTTCTCAGCTCCTGAAAGGGGCGCGGAGTGTCTGAGTGATGAAACAGCAACTCAGATACATTCGCTTTTAGTGAGTGTGTAAATGGAAGGCGTGTGTCAGCATGGAATTAGCACATAAGTGAAATTTCCTAATTAAATTATGTAATTTCAAATTTCTGATATGTATATATTATGTATAGATATAAATCTATATATATCTCACATTGCTCTCACCTCCAGTAATTCCATTTTTCTTCAAAAATATTGCCTTTCAACAGATAATGAATAAAACTGAATAAGACAAAGTCTGAAAACAGAACTGTTTAAAAGAATTATAATTCAAACTTTCAAATTAAATTCTTAGGACTGAAGTTTCACTGCTGATATTATAGTATTTTTATGAATTAGGCTGTCTCTTGGCTTGTTTCATCTTTTAAGAACTTAAGAGTTATCAAAAACACATCTGTTGCATTATTGGTATCCCGTGACCCTGTATTACAGAACAGGGTCATGGACTGTGTGAGTCAGGCCACTCTTTGGGTACTCAGACAGAAACGGGTCCTGTGACTCTTTAGAAAACAAATTTTGGAATTAATAGATGTGGACTTCTTGCTTGTCATTTGTGCAATAAAAGACAAAATCAGAGTTCTTCCTTTCCCTTTTTCCATATCCTTTTCAGCTCGAAGTTTACTGCACGCTCTCTGTTGGAGGAAAGTGTAGAATCTGAGTCAGTATCAACAATGAGCGCCTGTCTCGGCAGGGAGTGAAAGTTCAACAACTCTGGGTTTATTCCCTCCTTCCTATTTCCTCCACCCGGCTTCCCTGTTTCTGCATCTTTGCACTAGATTCTGGCATAGTGCAATAACCCTCAAATTGTGAACATTTAAGAGTTCAGGCTTTCTTTTATGTTTGAGGAAATTGAGACCAGAGAAGTGAAGCAATGATCTGGAGCCACAGAGGCTGAGGTCCAGTCTGGGATCTCCGTGTGCACCTAGGACTGAAGTGGGATTTTCCATCCTAAAGCACAGGGGTAGGGGCAAAGTTAATTCCCACCAGGAGGAATCAATAGCCTTGGAAAATATTTCTATTTTTATATTCATCAGCATGACCTCATAAGAACCAGTTGTCACTTTGCTCCACAAGTGTTCTCTGAGGTCACAGGGAAACCAGTGTCTTTTTTTTTCTAGACTCATTACTTAACTTTAAATCTAATAACCCATGTTTGCCACCAAAACAAAAATAAATAGAATGGTGAAAGAACTTGAGTATCACATCAAGAGGTGCTATAGGACTGCCCATACTTGTGAGAGGCTTTGCCATTTGAACTACTACAAGTGGCAGTGTGAGAAGGAATCCAAGTGCATGACGTGTCCATGACTAAAGTGAGCAAATAAAGTGGGCTACTCACCATGTGGGTAGGCATGAAAGCTAGCAACTTGCCATCCTTGCTGTGTTTGGGGATGTTTTTATTTTCCCATAAAACCAGGTCTTTCTTATGCTTGCCTCTTCTACGCGTATCTACAGTTACAGTGAAGAGACTCTTGCCCTCAAGAGGTAGTTAAGCTTCTGTTCAGTTTTTCTGCTCCTGAAGGAATTTGCCGGTCTTCTTTCTGAAATTTCACCCTGGAACTGCATCTTGATACTGTTCGGATTCTGTGCTCACAAAGAAACTCTGCTGGACTAGTGAAATAGAGCAGAGTCAAGACACGCCAGCCCAGCTACTTTCCCTCTTTATCTGCAAAGGTGTGGGGAAGGTGTGGGTGTGGGTAATGAGGAAATTGACTTTCAGATTGCTCTGGAGACCAATGGTCAAGTGCTAAAAGTTATGACTTATACCTTGAGTGTTAGCTCTTACTGTTGGAGTCCTCTGGGTGGTGGCAAGGCAAGAAGGTGACTTGTCACTTCCGTAGTTTACTCACACCTTTACTGTTGGTATGGGGCCAGGGAGCTAGCACAAGAGTTAGGATGTGTGCTTTTTATACTTGGAGTTTGATCCTGAGTACCACATGCAATCCCCTCCTTCATCCACTTGCCTTTGGGGTAGATCTGGAGACCCCACCCATAAACACTGCCCCGGTAGCCCTGGTGGTTCCCAGCACCTTAAGGCCCAAGGAGCGCAACATCTTTCGGCTTGGAGTTGAACAGCATGACCTGTTCAGCCAAGAATTCCCAGGAGTAGCATCACTCCAGAAACCCAGTATCAACAATAAAGATGAAATGGGGACTGAACTGAAGCCTCAGACTTCACTGGGATGTTCAATTTGCTACAATGTTTATTTTTGTGGCACCACCCACTGAAGTCATGGAATGTGCCAACATGCAGGAATGTTGAGGATCACTAGTGGTGGTTTTTCATAACCTGATCTCGCAGGAGTCCTCTATGCCAAGGAAACAAGCACTTTCAATGGTCCTGCCATTTGCAGACAAGAGTCAGCCTATGAACCTCTCCTTAAGTATTGATATTGTTTGTCCTACCCATCAATAAACTGTTGGAACTCTAAAGTAAAGAAAATGATATAGACTTCAACTCACCTCAGTGACAAGCACAAAGTTAAGAAGAAAGGTTGGGTGGGTTCTGCACTAGAGTCAGACATAGCTTTTCATTTATTAAAGTTTCCTTCTAATATTATCCTACATTATAATTCCAATAGTTGAATGCAGTAGGAGATGATAAGGTATAGCAGGAAAAAAGAGTTGTATACTCAAGAAACTTTCTACTGCACAGTTAATAGTATGTTAGTGAATGGTATATGCTATGGTGACTAGCTATTCTGGGGTTCTCTGATTGTTGGAGCTGTTCCCTGCTTGAAAGACTGGTGAAAATGAGCTTTACAAGAAGAGGCAAAGCTGAAGGAGACTCCGTCTATTGGGGATGGAGATATGTGTCTCTGGAGCACCATCAGGCTATGCGAATGAAACTAGCATGCAGGGTATGACAAAATCTGAAGTTTAAGAGAGCATTTGAACTTCCTTTGGAGAGATAATATTTGAGAAATCACAGCTCAAATGGTGGGGTCATTGACATTGTCAACAAACACTGTTGACAAACACTGTCCTCCCATTGTTCATTGATTTGCTCAAGTGGGCCCAGTAACGTCTCCATTGTGAGACTTCTTGTTACTGTGTTTGGCATATTGAATACTCTCGGTAGCTTGCCAGGCTCTCTGAGAGGGGCAGAGGAATCGAACCCGGCTCAGCAGGCTGGTGGTTGCAAGGCAAATGCCCTACTGTTGTGCTATCGCTCCAGCCTAATTGACATTGTAAATACCAAATTATTAGTTAATTTATTAGAACATATTTGATCCTTAAAAGTCATAGTAAGAAAACATTTTCTGTGTATCCTATTACATTTGACTTTTGAATAATACTGGGTTTGGAGTGTGCTAGTCTGTTACATAGACTTTTTTTTTTCTAAAATATAATGGAAAAATTTTGGAACATATAAATGCATGAATTTTTGTTCAAAAATAAATGATTTTTCACATCTTTTAATTGTTGCTCTCTACTGTTAATAGTATGTATAACATCAGTAGTTTTATATTATATAATATTGATATTATCTTATATGATTCATCTTGTGATATAAATATACAATATCAATAGAGATAGTACTGTAAATGTTTTCACTTTTAATAAACTTAATAAAGTTAAATGTAATAAAGTGATTTGAATAAACTAAAACTTATTTTCTCTTACTGCATTATTGTAAGAAATATAGTACATAATACATTGCACATGTAAATTATGTGCTCACAGACTGTTCATTATTTATAAGGTTTCTAGTCAACAGCAGGCTGTTAGTAGTTCAATCCCTTTTCCTCCCTAGCCAAATTGTTTAAGGATCAATGATATATTGAAGAAATTAAATGCCTTTTCCCCAAAATTGAAATTGTTTTCTGATTACAAAAGTATGAAGCTTTTAAAAGATCAGTCAAATAGAATGTATATATATATGTGTATATATAATATATATTCAAAACCTTAGGCACCCTTAACCACCTGTCCTTCACCAAAAGTCAGAGGGCTATGTAGGTGTGTGCATGCTGACATCCCTGATGCTTGTGAAAGGAGTTCTCTAATACACTCAGATCAAGCAAACATACTTTATAATCTATATAAAGTGGTTTGCTCCAATTTATCTGATTCATAAGCTTAGATGTTATTAAAATAAGAATACCTAGTGCTCAGCGACTTTCTAAAATGTATCCAATATTCATGTACCTAATGCAGAACTGTTTTCATGGGTCTTGTAGGTTGTCTAGAAATTGCATTTTTCTTTTGTGAAGATTAAAGTATATAATTGTGTTTAGTTAATGCTACATTTAAAGGGAAATGATAAAATGCATGTGTTTTATTTGCAGAGGGGGGTTGTTTGCTTCCTTGAGGATGGCTCTGTTTGGTTTGGAGTAACTATGAAATGTTAAAAAATATTATGTTATTTTAAAATAAGTTGTCTGAAGAAAGCCTTTAATTTCTTTCTGTACCTTTTTTTCCCTTTAATTCTTTACTCAGACATGGTTTGTTAAACTCTGAGATAATAATATGTTTGCATAGTTGGGAGTGGACCAAATCTCTGTTAATTTTTTTTGTTATATTGAGATTGACCAGTAAAAAGTTATAGTTTGTTTGGGTTTTTTGATGAAGTATCTTTGGAAATTATAGGGTAGAGGTTACACAAATTCTTAACAAAGCGTGTCTCAGCTTTTCTTTTTCCCTCTGAAATGAAAAGCGATACTGTATTTCCTAGAAGCTTTATAAGACTCTCCTTGCCTGGCATTTATTTATGCATTTAAATACTGCCTCCTTTTCGGCTATCTCTCTTTGCAGGTTCACAATCAGCACTTTCAAAAAGGATGTTTGCTGCCAGAAACCAAAAGCCAGTTTGCTGAATTCTCTTCCCACTCATTGCTGGTAGCTGCAATTCTCAGGGTAGGCCTGGGGTGAATGCAGGTGCCAGTCCTGGTGGAGGCATACCCGGAAGCCATTGTCAAGAACTTTTGCCACAGGTGTAAAAGACTCCTACCTTGCAAAGATGCTGAAACAGATACTGTCGGAAATGTATATAGATCCTGATCTGCTGGCAGAGCTCAGCGAAGAACAGAAACAGATCCTGTTCTTCAAGATGAGGGAGGAACAGATCCGTCGATGGAAAGAAAGAGAAGCAGCAATGGAAAAAAAGGAGCTCGTGCCAGTGAAATCCAGACCAAAGAAAGGTGCGCTTGGCTACACCTCATTGTGAATGTGTTAGGAGATTGGTTTCAGGCTTGTTTTCAACATTTTGCAGAAGTCAGAAGCAAACCAGGTGTGAATTCCAATTTGGTAGATGGTCCTTTATGTTATTCAGATCCTAATAGTACAGTTTATCAACTTGAAGTTCACGCAAATTACAAAGGTGCATGCACACAGCAATTACCATGAAGTTATGTAGTTGTAAATAGATCTTTTACTGGAACCCATGTTGACTTTAAGCTGTTTGATTTAAAGGATATTAAAACAAGTTTATATCTCCCCATTGTCACAGTTGTTTAATCCTCTGCTAATAGTATGTAAAATTCTTGTAGCAATTATGTTTGCATTTCTTAGAATTTAAGAGATTATTCTTTGAATTACCTTCCTCATGGTAACTCCCACTTAAAAAGCAAACATTACTATAAGGGGGAAATAATGCTAATTTTTTAATGTGAGGTTTTTTTCTGTATTTATTCCTTATCCAAGGAATTTCTGTTAGTTTAAGAGGGACTTTTGTGACTGTGTGGGCGGAATTCTTTGCATAACAAGACTTAAAAAATACAAACTCTGGCACCATAAAGGACATGTTAATAACCCTTCCCCCTCACCTGCCCAATTCAGTCATGTATGAACGTAAGTCGTTTCTGAAAAATAGTTTTCAAGGTCACTTAAAGAGGCATTTGAGACCATTTCCTCCTCCTTTTCATTAAGCCAGGAAAACTAAAATTTGATTCAAGGTTTCAAAGACTGAGAAAATAAATCTTATTTCTTAAAAAATGAAGTAGTGACCTTTACCTCATACTGTTCTTATTAAAAATCTTTTTCCAATATTAATGATATACAAATAAATTTGAGCGATTCATTTATTACTATTACTATTACTATTATTATTATCCCCACCAGTTGTAGCTGTTTTGCCATATATTTTGCAGTGTTTTGTAAATATATTATGTCTCATCTTCATAAAACAAGTTGATATGTGCTATTCTACAGATGAAAAAATGTGGAATTAGAGAAATTGGGTAAAACATTCAAGGTCACACTGCCAGTTAGGACCCAGATTTTTGGCTTTAACAGAGCTTTATGTTGGCTAGAGGAATAATACAGTGGACTAGTCACTTGCCTTTCATGTGACCCAGGTTCAATTCCAGTACTGCATATGGTTTCCTGAGCACTGCCAGGTCTGACCTCCTGAGCACAGATCTAGGACTAATCTCCAAGCACAGCCAGGTGGGACTTCCAAACACCAAGAAACAAAAGAAAAAAAACCACAGTACCTGATAGCAAGCTTCTTAGACTTTAATCACTAGGAATCCCTTTTTACCTGAGACATTTTTATGCAACCTCAAGTAAAAAGATATAGTAAATAGGTAATAAAATAAAGCATTTATTGATAATAAGTCAAAAGAAATTTATTTCAAACAAATTATTAAGATTTTTTTTCTGATCCAAAATGTAGTGTGACCCACTTACATTTCTGTGTTGGTTCATGCATCTCCTTGCATTCTTTTATCAGGTGAGCAGAGATATCTGGGTTTCTCTGGTCACCAGGTCAGCTGAGAACATAATCTACTGGTGTGAGAGTATTTGGTTAGCGGTAAAGCTATGGGGTTCAGGGGCAAACTTTGCAATACTTTGGCCTTCTTGTATTTGATTTCCTTGTGATGATTTCAGTCTCTTTGCTTAAATTTCTCATTTGCTAGGTTTTGAATCTACATTTAGAAACCCTGCATAACTATAAAATAATCATGGTGGCGGCGGGGATGGGAGATATGTCAGTATACACAGTAAAAGCTATGCTATCAGTTTTCATACCCCAAAGTTTATTATTTACTTAAATATAATAGTTGGAAATATATATTTTGTCCTAAATTAGTAATTCATCTGACTATAATAAAAGAAAAGTTTGAGGTTCTTTCTTCTATTTCACCTAGAATGATAGTGTTTTATTTTGTTTTTGTTCTATCTTCAAAGATTAACCTAAAGATAGTATAAGGCAGTCCTATTGTGTCTGGACATTCATAGGCTATATCTGTGTTTTGAGACATACTAAGCTCCTTGTCAAGACTTCACTCTGGGCCACTGTTCATTTCAGGCCTATGTTCTTGCTTGCTGCATTCTCACCCATCTGTTGGTACCATGCTAGCTGAAATATTGCCCTTTTGTAGCACTTCTTAGTCAAATGTTACCTTGAAGTTTGACCTTTCCTTGGATCATTAAATAATACTTAGTGCTTATCACATTCCTTTTCACTACTCTGGTTCATCACTTAGTTCATTTTTATTATAATCAGGTTCTTTTGTTTTCTCTGAAAATATATGATCTATTGTTGCAATTTTTCAAAGAGCAGCTCTATAGTATAGCTACATATTGTGTAGCCCAGGAAAATACTGACCTTTTAGTAATAATAAGGTTACAATAGAAGATAGTCTTATGAACTCAGGAGAGTGAATTTACTGAGTGATAAATAGAAAAACCATTTCAAAACTTAGTGGGAAAGTACAGTTCTTCAAAACAGAGCATGATGGATGTCTTTGTCAGATGAACTGTGGCACAAATGGGAAACCAACCACTAGTCATATGTTCAGTCATGCATGTGAAATTAGGGTGATCTAGATTCTGTCTTCTAAATGTGGGAATCACAAAAACCCTTCCTTTTAAAAAAAAAACCTATATGACTTATTATCAGTAACTGATTTATATACCTATTTTTATGCCTATCTATGGGGGGCTGCATAAATATTACTCAGGCAAAAAAAGGGGTTTTGAGTGGAAAAGATTTAAGGACTGTGATCTAGAGTATTCACTGATTAGAGGCATGCACGCAGAGGAAACCACATGGTTCTCACTTTTGCTTTTGTTGACTAGGGGAAAGATGTTCTACATTTATGACAGAGAATGAGAGGAGGGGAGAGTTGGAGTGATATTGTTGAACCGAATTTTGCATTGTACCTGAAGCCTGATTATTTCTCAACATCAGAATTCACTCGATTACACACTAGAAAGAGGCCCAAGTAAGAGGTCTCGTTTGGCAGTATGGATTAGAGAGTAAATAATATTAGGGTGGTGTTTAAAGCTAAAAGGTAGAATAGATTTCTTAGTGAGACAGTACAGGGTCTTGACCTTGTTTTTTTGTTTTGTTTTGTTTTATTGAATGACCACGAGTTAATACATTTACAAAGTTTTTCATGATTGGGTTTCAGTCATACAATGATCCAACACCCATCCCTTTACCAGTAAACATTTCCAACACCTGTCTCTTTACAAGTACACATTTCCCACCCCAGTTTTCCTCTCCATCCCCTCATATCTCTCTCTCTCGCTCTCATATTCCACAAATGAGTGAACTCATTCTATGTCTGTACCTCTTCCTATGACTCATTTCACTCAGCATGATACTTTCCATGTCAATCCATTTATAAACAAATTTTATAACTTCAATCTTTTCTGTTGGTTGCATAGTAACCCATTGTGTATATGTGCCATAGTTTCTTTATACAGTTGTATGTCCTCAGATGCTCCGGTTGTTTCCAAAATTCTGCTATGTGAATAGTGCTTCAATGAAGATAGAAGTGCAGATGACTTTTCTGCTTTGAGGTATATTCCCAGAAGTGGTATTGCTGGGTTCTATGGAAACTCAATTTCTAGCTTTAGCTCTATGAACTGTGAATGGGTATGAGGTAGTCGGTGAACAGTGTAAAATACTACACAAAATGTCTGAGTACATTTTCCTAGGGCCAAGTTTTCAGTAAATTTTCAATCCCCCTTCAAGGTTATCAGTGGTGGAACTTCTGGGAAATACAGACAAGATTTAATTGGCTCTATGATCTTGGTGGTTTTGGTGATGATGGTTGGTGGGTCGGAGGTTTTCTGACTTACCATTCCAGTCTTCAATTTCCTCCATTTCCTAAAATTTGGTTAGCAATAGTCTCAAGTGGGCTTCAGTGGTAGCACAGCGGGTAGGGCGTCTGCCTTGCATGTGGCCCACACAGATTCAATTTGTTTGTCCCTCTCAGAGAGCCTGGCAAGCTACTGATAGTATTCTGCCCGCACAGCAGAGCCTGGCAAGCTCCCCATGGCATATTCGATATGCCAAAAAAAGTAACAACAAATCTCACAATGGAGATGTTACTGGTGCCGGCTAGAGCAAATGGATGAACAATGGGAGGACAGTGTTGCTAAACAGTGCTAAATAGTCTCAAGTAATATTCTAAAATTTATACCCACAAACTGCTCCCGGCGCTGTGTGATCCCATCAACAACCAAGACCCAGAGACTATAAAACCCTGCTCCCGGAAGTGTGCGGCTGCATTTGTGGCTGCGCAACATCTTATTTTCCAGGTCTTACTCTGGAGAACCTGGAAGGCTACCAAAAGTATCCTGCCCACCTGGCAGAGTCTGGCAAACTCCCCATGGCGTATTCAGTATGCCAAAAACCAGTAACAATGATGGGTCTCATTCTCCTGACCCTGAAAGAGCTTCGAATGTGGCACTTATTAAAATCTCAGAGCTAGGATGAAGGAGACGTTACTGGGGCCTGCTCGAGGCAATCGATGACCAAAAGGATGACAGTGATACAGTGAAAATTCTAAAGAGTTATTGACTACTATGGCAAGGACATCAATCAAAAGGGAAATGACCAATGTTCTATCACCCCGGGAATGTCTGCTGACCAGCCATTTGTTTGTTGCCTTCATCAGAGGGTAGGAGAAAGACCAGAAGGGTGGGAGATGCTTGGGATATTGGAAATTCAGCAATGGTTTAACAAGTTGGTACTGATAGATACCCTGTTGATGTCAGCCCTGATGGTAGCCCATTGCATTTGTAATATAAATTTATTTAGAGACACTTGGTGATGCTCTTCTTCAGCTTTCTGCTCACTTTAGTCCTCGGTCTTCTCTAGTGGGAGCCAAGTAGATCATTCTCTCCATGCCCTCTCCACAGACCTCTTTCACACATCTGTGAAAGAGAGCTGTTCTTCCAA